AGGGTCTCCCTTAAGGAAAGTATTCTGGCTCAGTACCTGTAGCTAAGCGGTTAGAGCACCAGTCACATACACTAAGGCTGGCAGGTTTGAACCAGCCTGGGCCAGCCAAACAACAATGACAACTACAACAACACCAGGCGTTGTGGTAGGCCCCTGTAGTCCCAGCTACTTGGGAGGCTGAGGCATGAGAATTGCTTAAGCCCAAGAGTTTGAGGTTGCTGTGAGCTGTGACACCACAGCATTCTACCAAAGGCAACATAGTGAGACTCTGTCTCAAAAAAAAAGTGTTCTCTTTTCTTGAATTTCTTCACTCCCTGGTTTTCTTCTGGGCGCTCTGGCCACTACTTGTTTTTCATCTACTAGTTCCTACTGTCCCCTCAACCTCTAAATGGTAGAGTTGCTGGGTTCTCATTCACCCTGATGATTCCCCAGATTTATGGTTCTAATCCAAATCTCTTTTCTGACTCAAATCTCTTTCAATTTTTTCATTTATCTCATCTATCAGTCTAAATTTCCATAAGATTGTCATAAAAATGTCTATAACTGTATTCTTCATCTCCTCATGATATCCTCCCCAACTCTGCCTCTCCCTTACACTTCCTCAACTCAGAAAATGGCACCTCCATGAGTCCAGTTGCTCAAATTAGAATTTGGTTGTCAGATTTGAAACCTCCCTTCTTTTCCTTTTGATTCATCATCAAGATATATTTTTACCTGTTCAGTATTTCTTGCAGCCATAACCTTTGTCTGTGTCACTATCTCCCTTACCTGTAGGATCATGTTAGTCTCCTAACTAGCCTCCCCACATTCATCCATTCTCCTACTTCAATCCAAGGAGTTAGTAATCACCTAAAAATACCAGCACTTTGGGAGGCTGAGGCAGGAGGATGGCTTGAGGTCAGGTGTTTGAGACCAGCCTGAACAACATAATGAGACCCTATCTTTAAAAAAAATAAATACATAAAATGCTGTTGGGCTCATGTTCCCTCCCTGCTTAGAACACATCAGTGGCTCCTGCTTCTCTCTTCATCTTTAGCCTGTGCCTTTCTCCCCTTCTAAGTGCACCCCAGCCCCAATGGCTGCCTATGGGTTTCCTGCCCCACATATTTTTTTTTGTCTCTGCTTAGAATTCTTTGTCCTCCACCTTTCCCTTCCTCTCTTCTCCTAGCATCTGCTAATTCTTCAGTCTAATTTTACATGTCAGATACTACAAAATCTGATTTAGGACTCCCTTGATAATCTCTCGCATAGCATCCTCTCTTTTTTTCCTTTCAAAACAATTTCTAATTATAAATGCATTTGTGTGATTATTTATGCCTTCCCAACTATCTCATCCACCACTATATTGCACAACAACTATCTAGAACAGTTCCCAGCATGTAGTGGGCAGCTATGTGACAAGGGAGCTATGTGAGCTGAGAGGATTTTTGTAAAATAATTTAGATATCTTTCTCCTTTTGACTCTGTTCTAGCCAAAGTACCTACTTTGATTATGATTTCTGTTCCCACATAGCTTGACAACAGGGACGGAATACATTGATAATGAGGTTTTATTTAGGGGAGAGGTATTTCTTAATTTAAAAATTGATGTTTGAGTGGTAACTTGTACTCACGTGGATTTTAATTCATGTGCATCTGTCTCTGAGGTCCTGAGAATGGTGAGCTGTGGCCTTGAGGTCAAGTCCTGGGCCACATTAATTCACTAGTAAATATCACCCATGAGGGTTTTCTGGGCAGGACCTTGCAGACCTATCCCGTCAGTGACGTCCTGATTAAATCACTACTGATTGAAGCTTATCTTTCTTTTTGGAATGTCTGTGTAACTTAGGAAGTATTGCCAAATTTTTGCCAGTTACTAAAGATAAAAGTTACCAAATATAGTTGTTATCATCTGTGTGTGCCACTGAGAGATTAAGCAGGCTAGGCTAACCTCAGGCCAGGACTTCTAGTCAATCAGGTCTTTCCCTGCAACCGGATTTTATAAGCTTGGGAAACTCTATTGCAAGTGTGTTGATGGGCCTAGCACCAACTGAAACGAAGTACTAAAGCACCGAAAGAGCGTTCTTAATAATAAATCTCAGCCATAAGTTCATTGTTTTCTACACGCCAGCGACTAGGCTGTTATACACATACTGCTTCATTCATTCTCCTCATGACTCTACAAAGCATGGTCATTGGTTATCAACCTCATCTTACACGATAGGAAAACATAGCTTGGAAAAGTTTTGTAGCATGGTTAATGAAGGGGCTGAGCTGGGAGTGAACCTGAGTCTGTCCGAATCCAGTCTCTGAGCACTTAAGCACTATATGAAATTGTGTCCTTTGGACTTGATCATGTATAAGTGATTGATGTGGTAACCACTGGTTTGTACAGTGGCCAAATTCCTTATCCTCCCAGCCTGATTTCTGTCATAGTAGTAATGGAAATGGGTCATTAAAATACAAGTTTGGGTATCCTTCCCTACTTTATTCATAAGGATTTTTGGAGAACCTTCTATATGCCAACTGTTATGTAGATTCTAAGGAATGTGGATGAGAAGATACATGGTTCTTCTCCCCAAAAGCTTGCAGTTTCATGGAAAACAGGCGAATAACAGATACAAACAATACACTATGACCAGTGCTGGAATGGGATGTGAGCTGACTCTTGAAGACTAGGGATCTGCCGGGCAGCTATGCAGGATGAGAAAAAGAAAAGGGTAGTTTTCTGGTCGTTTTCATCATTTTGGGAACCATGTGTACAGATCTGGGAGGCCTGTAGTATTCAGTACTATGGGACAATGGAAAGAAACCAAGCTGAAGAGATCATAGGCTGGGTGCCAGATCCCATCAAATCTTTATTCTGAGTACTCAGAGCTCCTTTGAACAGGAACAGAAACCAAGTCAAATAAGCTGCAGTAATGAAGACTGACCTCTTAGGTTCAGGGGCCTGGCCCCAAGTGCTGCACTCTCTGTGTCTCTTAGTCCTTGCTCTCAAGAGAAAGAATCTGATCAGTCATTGGCCAGCCACCTGAGTCAGGTGTCTGTCCCTCCTCTGATAGGATGATGCAGGCACACACGTGTGTGGGGGTGGGGTGGGGGGTGGGGGAGGTGGGTTGTGCTGCAGGGTTACTAGGTTGGGACCCCATGGTAGGGAAAGCTCTCACAGGGACAATAAATAGATGAGAACATTTCCCTAGGGAAGCTGTGTGAGAGAAAGGCAATAAAGTCTATCAAGTACAACATGTAGGCCGTGAGGTTTCTATGTAGACATAGAAAGAAAGCAAAAGAGGAATTCTCCATTAAACCCACGAAGTTATCATTGTATCATTTAAGGCAACTGCCACTCATGACTCCAAAACATAACATCTAGAAGGCTGGGATAATTACAGTACTTTTGCATTGCTACTGATTTTGAATGATTTAAAAATGAGTATATATGGCAATCATCTCACTAATAAAATACTAAACATTTTATCCTTAACTGGCCGAGAAAGGCTGGCTGTAGCAGCAGAGTCATTCAGGAACCCCTGCATGGAACACAGTATATCCCCACCTCATTCACACCGGACAGGGATGTAAATGAGAAATTTATCTTTATTTTATTAGGCAATTAAAATTTGATGTTGGTTTGTGAAAGAGATGTGAAAAAAGTTGAAAGTGAATTTTCAAAAGAAATTGTACAGAAACATTTTTCTTTTTTCTTTTTTTTTTTTTGAGACGAAGTCTCAAGCTGTCCCCCTGGGTAGAGTGCCATGGCATCATGCTCACAGCAACCTCCAACTCCTGGGCTCAAGCGAGTCTCCTGCCTCAGCCTCCCAAGTAGGTGGGACTACAGGCGCCCGCCACAACGCCTGGCCATTTTTTGGTTGCAGCCATCATTGTTGTTTGGCGGGTCCGGGCCGGGGCTTAGCCACTTGAGCCACAGGCGCCGAGCCAGAAACATTTTTCTTTAATTAACTAAAGTAAGCTTGTCTATAATACCCTCAAATTCCGTGTTTGTGAAAAAGTTTGAAAAAATTGTTAAATTTTTTCTGTGTCGTCTATATATATGATAAAAATAAATGTTAAGCAGTAGACACTGTTATTTTTCTGATATTCTGTATTTGCCTATATTTCCCCAAATGTCCCTCATTTAAAATTTCATGAAAGAATTCTTCTCCTTTTAGATATTTGTATTTTCTTATTTGAAAATAGCTTTACTTACATACATTTATTGCTTAGTAAATTATGTAAAATTATAAATAATAACTTTAGAATTCACAAAACAGATAAGGATGAAAAAGACAAAAATTACTCACTTTAGGAAAATGCGCATAGTGCATTATGGAGTAAGGCAGAGTAAGTTTTTAAACACTGGTATGCCAGGAAGGAGGCTATTCTCTCTAATCATTCTCAATGATTCCTTTTATAAGTTGTTTTCTTGATTTTTTAAGTTATCTTCTTAAGTTTTCTTCCTTCACATATAAACCTTTCATTGTATACAGGGTTATAAATACTGAAAATATTATTGGGAATAACCACAAATGTCAACACTGGAGTGTATATATATCTTTTAAATTTGTGGAGTTCAGAAACAGTGTGTAGGAAACACTTGAGCGTGATAAGAGAGCCTAGGCCACTATTTCCAATTCAAGAAGTTTTTAAAGTTTGTGTCTTTGTATCAGGCAGTGCAGAAAAAAAAAATCTGAATTTCTGAGTACTGACTTTTCTTTTCAGGGTCCAGGAATGAATGTTTGTGTGAAACAAGTACAAAATCATCATGAATCACATTATGGGAACTGGAACACAGAGCCTCACGCGTTAATTGGTTTATACCGTGGGGAATGTAACATTAGTAAAAGCAAAATTTTCTCTTGTATAAGAGAATAACGATTATTCTTTAAACACTGCCTAAGCATTTTGGTTAAGACTTATTTTTATTCTTCTCGTAGTGTTTTCCTTTAAAAAAATAGTTTTATTTTTATGTTTTCCATGTTTCGTTCCTACATTTAAACTTACTGTCCTTTAGAAATCTGTCATTACTTATTGGCGATATAAATGATTTTATGCTTTTCGATGACTCCGATGTCGTGTTCCAGTTGTTTCATTTCTTTCTCCAGCTTCTGCTTGCGGATCTTCTTGGGAACAGAATCTATGAAGACGGAGAGGGACTGGAATTCCTTGTGGACCTCCTCCCAGTTCTTTTTCAGCCCCTGAGAATGATAAAGGAAACTTGTAAGACGAAAGTCAACTGCAAAGGTAAAGGAAATGGAAAAGTAAAGCAAGCTGGTAATGAAAAATGTAAATCGGTCCAGAAAACGTGAGAACCGTTTTAAAAACCACATGTACTTATCAAGGGCTTGGCCACACCAACAAAAAATACTGCACAGAGGCCAAATCCTGTCTTTAAATTAACTGTGTGCTCACTTCCCACTGGGAGTATTTATGTGCTCTGTTTTTAATGTTACTGTACTTGTTTTTACCATCGACTAGCACATGCAGGGTTATGAAGAGCATGGAGCTAAGCTCACAGCAAATGCTCTGGTGAAAAACAACAGCTTAGAATTGACGACCCTCTGGCTTGGCACCTGTGACTCAAGCGGCTAAGGCGCCAGCCACATAAACCTAAGGTGGTGGGTTCTAATCCAGCCTGGGCCCGCCAAACAACAATGACGGCTGCAACCAAAAAATAGCCGGGCGTTGTGGTAGGCACCTGTGGTCCCAGCTACTTGGGAGGTGGAGGCAGGAGACTCGCTTGAGCCCAGGAATTGGAGGTTGCTGTGAGCTATGATGCCACAGCATTCTACCTAGGGGGATAGCTTGAGGCTTTGTCTCAAAAAAAAAAAAAAGAATTGACAACCCTCCATAGAAGACATTTTTTGTGAATTATTTCTTAGAAGATTTTTACTTTGTTTCTTTAGAATTTTCTTTTTAATCTTTATTCTTCGATAGAGAAATCACATCAAAGGGCCTAATGATGATTGAAGGAACTATATTTTCTTGTGTTTTACAAAATGGGTCTGTAAAAACACCAACATTCAATTTGACCAAAGATGATCTTTTATGTGTCTTTTCAAGATATTAGAACAAATCGCCCTTCATATAGTCAAGGGATCTGTACTTCCTATTAACGTATTCTAGGAACAATTAAATGTGACGCTAATCCAATAATGTAGTTGAATGTTTTAAACTCCCAGAAATCAACAAATTCAAAATTATGCATCTCTTAGGAGCCATAAAGGTTATTTCCATCTCTGCCTAGTTATCATTTCTTATCACAGTGTGTTAGGCAGTCCACCGACAAAATGGTCTTAAATTGCTAATTTAATTCAGTCAATTAAATTGTATAAACTAACATTTTTTATTATTCATTATGGGTACATACATGATTTTATTTACACAAAAGCAAAACACAAAATAGAAAGTACAATTTAAAATAATGGGGCGGCACCTTTGGCTCAAAGGAGTAGGGCACCGGCCCCATATGCCAGAGGTGGCAGGTTCAAACCCAACCCTGGCCAAAAACTGCAAAAAAAATAAATAAATAAAATAATGCTTTGAAAGCATGGCCCTTGGAAACCACAGCCATTCATTAAGGTTTAAAAGAGGATTGATTAGCAGTGTCTTATATCATAACGCCTTCATCCTAAGCCCTCGTAGCTCAAATTTAATCTTGTAGAAACTTCTTGGGGACAATACAATTTCAATGACTTATTTCTATGCTTAGGTAAGTGATAGCAGGACAGGGCACAATGTATAGATCAGGCAGGTTGGCGGTGGGGGGGACAACAAATTCTGACTCCTTACTGAGTGAGAAGAATAAGTATCCAGGTTAAATTTTAAAAAGAGAGGGATAGGTTAGCTCAGTTCTTCATCGTGCATGAGTTATGTTCTAAAAAGAGGCCCTCAAAAGAATTCTGTTTCTCCACAGTCTTTCATTATGAAATGTGAAATAGGTTCCCACAGGGCTCTGTAGGGGTGCCTACTGCAGAGAGGAAATCTATGTATTTATACACTTTCAAATATCAAAGGTTTCTCGTAGCGACTTGGGTGATATTTCCATATTACTGGTGGTCACAGCAGCTGCACTTTTTCTCTGTATTTTCTTTTAAAGCATGGTTTGCTTTTATCTTCTAGTGTGTACAATAACGTTTGGATCAAAGTCAACAGCTAGGGATGGAAACGAAATGTAACTAATATTTCATACTATAGTGAAAGAGGCTCCTTGATGTTGTTAAGACCTTTTCTTTTTTGGTTATTATAGTTCAACTAAAAAAGATCTTTTATTCACTGTAGCAATAGCAACTTTCCCTTATTTTTATTTCTTAATTTTTCTCTCTTCTATTTTAATGTGGAAATAATACTGTTAATTTTGGAAAAAAAATCAAATAGGGAGAAGTGGTCCTATACTAAGTGCCCTCCCCCACCCCCCCAAAATTCTTCACCTTCTTGCCCTGCTCTTGACTAGGGGTAGAGTAACCCTTGTGAGCTGTTCCTCTGACTCCTTTGCCCTCTGGTAGCTGAGTGAGTTCAGCCTAGAGGGAAGAGAGAGAGGCTGTGGCATTCTCCCCACCCCGCGGCATTGCCTGGACACTTGTTCTAGCTGCATTCATCTGTCACTAAAACCTTCACCCAGGTTCCAGTTCTTTGGAGGGGGCTCTGACAACATGGCCTCTTGTCCCTGCCCTTCAAGCCTAGATGGTGGTGAGTTCCCACTGTCTTTAGTCCTGGGGTGGTTCACGTCTGTGCTTCCGGCCTGTGGATGGCTCCCTCCTACATTCCCTTCAGGTCCCAGCTGACTGCACCTTGCATGTCCTGCTAGAGCTCTGACCAATAACAGCTTCCTTCTGTTACCTCCTGTGTGTGTATGTGGAGCCATTAGTAAACGTAAGCCCAGTCCTTATTCATCCACTTGATAATTCTACAACAAGGGAAAATGAAAACCAAGTTCTAAATTCACTGACAGTAAGGACTGTGTTAGTTTTGCTCACTGGAGAATCTCCCTGGCTGGCTACTGTGCTTAGAATATAGTAGACATTCAATAAATGAATAAAAGGATGGATGAACAAATGAGCCCACTTGCTCTATTTGTATTTTATGCCCTCATCTATAAAATGAAAAGTTTGGGGTCACCAGACCAGATGATCCCTTCTAGGTGTAATAAAGTTTGGAATCATTAGGCAAAGGATGTTTTCTAGGCATAATGAGACTGTTATTTCATAAAGGATGAGTGGAATGTGTCTTACTCAGGGATGTATAAGTGTATTCTCAGAACTATATGCACCTCTTAACCAGGGGAGGAAGCGTGGTTCCAGCCCTGTTAGGTGGCCAGTCAGTGGCTTTCTTACAGTGGCTGCTGTATTCCTCAGCTAGTAAGGTGTCCAAGGGCAGATCTGCTGTTGCCACATGGAAGGGTAACTCTGTAGTGACCACAGTGAGGCTGAGGGCTGTTTAACCACTACACCCAAAAAGACACAGGAGGGAAGAGCCCATCCCTTCTCAGGGAAGTTCTTCCTCTTTTTTCTGTTTTCCAGGATTTCAGGTGTAAAAGTGCGGCTTTCACAAAGGCATGCACTTTCTGAATATGAGAGAATCAAACCAGAGAGAGAGAGTGGGCCACAGTCCAGCACTGCCCCTGAAAGTGGCATCCAATCCCCTCTCCCACGTCTGCCAGCCAGCTTGCCCGTCTGCTTCCCTCCTTTCAGCACACTTTGCACATCTGTGTTTTACTGGGCATCAGGGCACCAAGGATGCTGCTGTCAATAAAGAGACATAGTCTCTGCCCATAAGCCACTCCTGCTGTCTGGGACGCCCTCTCACTCTGCACTCTTGGGCTCTGTCCTTCAGTGGTGACCCGTGCCTTGGAACCTTATGCAACTTATGATCTTCCACACATAAACACACATTCATGACTACATGTATATGGATGCCCATTAAGTTACAGCAATTAAATTACAACTTCTCTCTAGCAGAAGTTGTATCTTATGCTTTTTAAAAATATCCTCAAGGCTCAGTGCGTAAGAAATCTTTACAGATGATTCCAATGACTGATAAAATATTAAGAATGTCTAGCAGCCTATGGATCCATTTTTCAACAGAGATTACTAAGGCAGTAGAAATGGCTTTGTATAACAGAAAGCCTTCAAGATAAAAAACAAAAAATAAGGTATTATCTCTACCTCTATAATAGGGAACACAAGCATGGCTATTGAAGGTTCAAGTAGGTGCTTAATAAACACTCTACAAGTGATGAAGCTCACACCCCCCAATATCTTAAATGCTTCAGATAAAAGTCCAACATTATAAATTCCCATGTGACCGTACATTTAGTCTATTCAAAATGAGAAAGATATATGTAAAGCCTAATCCCTATTTTATTTTAAAAATTGGGAAATTTGGCTTTCAGGTAAGAAGAAAATGTTGGCCTCAGGACAGTTTCAATTATTCTAGAGCTCCATCTAGTGAAACATATCTAATTTATGAATATTAGTTTTTACAAAGTCAGGGACGTAAGAATGAAAATAAAATTGCTTTTTTGCCTTATTCATGCATGTTCGTTGTAGGAGAAGGAGGCTTCCTTAACAACACTAGCTCAGGAAAAGAATCAGAAGCTCACCAACTTGGAAACAGAATATTATTGAATGAATCCCTCTAGTGCAACTTTTTGCTTTCCCCAAAGAATGGCTTTGCTGTAAATAGTTTGCCTGTATAACCGAAAGAGGTTGTTCTTATTTCCAAAAAGTGCTAGCTTTAATAACCAAATTGATGGTAGACTTTTCTTTTTCTTTTGTTTCTTTTTTGAGACTTGTCTCACTCTGTCACCCTGGATAGAGAGCTGTGGCATTCTTTTTTTTTTTTTTTTTTTTTTTTTTTGCAGTATATGGCCAGGGCCAGGTTTGAACCCGCCACCTCCGGTATATGGGGCTGGCGCCCTACTCCTTGAGCCACAGGTGCCTCCCTAGCTGTGGCATTCTTATAGCTCACAACAACCTCCAACTCCTGAGTTTGAGCCAAATAGCTGACTACAGGCATGTGACATCATGGCTGGCTAGTTTTTTTCTATTTTTAATAGAGACGGGGTCTCACCCTTGCTCAGGCCGGTCTCAAGCAACCCACCTGCCTCAGCCTCCTAGAATGCTAGGATTAAAGGTGTGAGCCACTGCACTGGGCCAATGGTAGATCGTTCTCTCAGAGATGTTCTAAATGTGAATTGCAGAACACTCACTTGCAGAACTGCCTCCCTTTCTTCATCCGAGAGCCTTTTCATAGCAGCCCTCTGAAGGCTTTCCTGGACATACCGATCATATTCTTCTTGGGCTTTCTTTACTTCCTCGTTTCGCTTACATATGTATTCAGGTGTGACACCATAATCCTGTAGGGATTTTTCAGAAAAATATCATCAACATCTTGAATGCAATCTTATCTTTGTACATAACCAACCAATGACAGGGAGAAAAACAGATGTTGCAAACTGACAGGCTTTGCCGAAAACCCCACAAATTGACAAAATTCAGCAATTTTCCTCATTAAGAACTAGTTGATTCTAGTCTGCTAACGCTGTCTGGGTGGAGACTGTGGGCCTTGTTTTCCCTCTCCTGAATGTTTCCAGCTCTGGTTCTTGCCAAATGACTTGGCCCTCGCTTTACTCCTAAAAGTTGGCTTTTGTATCTTTTATATCAGTGGTTCTCCACCTTCTTAATGCCCCCTAATGCCACGACCCTTTAATACAGTTCCTCATGTTGTGGTGACCCCCCAACCATAAAATTATTTTTGTTGCTACTTCATAACTGTAATTTTGTAGTATCAGCTACTGAATCATAATGTAAATATCTGAAATGCAGGATATATTTTTACTGTTACAAAGGGGTAGGGACCCACAGGTTGAAAGCTGCTGTTTTATGTGCTTCAGGTTTTACCTTGAGAACTATCTTGACTAAGTAGTGTACTGCTTGAGCTCACGAGTTCAAGATCAGCCTGAGCAAGAGACCCCATCTCTAAGAAAAAAAAAAAAAAATAGCCCAGTGTTGTGGCAGGTGCCTGTAGTCCCAGCTACTTGGGAGGCTTCACTTGAGCCCAGGAGTTTGAGGTTGCTGTGAGCTGTGACACCATAGCACTTTACTCAGGGTGACAAACTGAGACTCTGCCTCAACACAAAAAAATGGCATTGCCTTTGAAAGGATATATCAATATTTACTCACTTGCCAATAACAGATGTTTTAAAACTTAACTTTGGGAAGTGAAAAGTAAGTTGGGTCTGTCTTTCATGAGCAGTGATTGCTTAGTCAGCAGCACCAGGAGGATGAGAGCGCACACAGTGTTTTCAAGACTGGGTAAACAGGCACAGGTAGATTCGAATTTCTCTCAATCCATGGTGGACACTCTCAATTCCCTGTCCAAGGCAGAAAGTATGCTACAGTGGAGCGTTCAGACAGAGAGCAGCTAGGAGGGTAGACTGTGCGGCACTTGGTAGCGTGACTATCAGAGGAGAAAGGTTTCTATGCCACAGTGGGAAAATGATATATCAGAAGTGGCTTTGAAAAGCCAGAAGAGTGAACTTTCTTCTTTCCCTTCCCTATGGGACAACAAGTGTGCGCAGCTTCCAGGAGCCACAGAGGGAAGAAGTATCTGGAGAAGCCTAAAGTAACTTTACTGGCCTGTGTGGCCAACTCCTGGATCACTGCTAAAGTGCTCCCTAAGTGGTCTTAGCCTATAGAGTAAGAAGAGTTTCTCAGAGAATATGAAGTGTCCTCCAAAAATAGCCTTGAGGTTTCTGCTCTGATTTCAACAGGGATTGGATTCCTCACAGATCACCTCAAGGCAAGGCCCTCATGCATGACTACCGCAATTTTTTTTTCTTTTATTGCAGTTGCCACTGCTGTTTTTTTTTTTTTTTTTTTTGGCTGGCTGGGGCTGGGTTTGAACCTGCCATCCTCAGCATATGGGGCCAGCACCCTACTCACTGAGCCACAGGCGCCGCCCATACTACCACAATATTTTTCCCTCTTCTCTCTCTTCCTGCCTTCCCTCTCTTCCTTTCTTTCTTGCCACAGCTTATTACTATTTATTATTCTTCAGAATTTTGCATCCATTTTTTCTTTTTTTTTTTTTTTTGAGACAGAGCCTCAAGCTGTCCCCCTGGGTAGAGTGCTATGGCATTACAGCTCACAGCAACCTCCAACTCCTGGGCTCAAGCGAGTCTCCTGCCTCTGCCTCCCAAGTAGCTGGGACCACAGGTGCCTGCCACAACACTCAGCTATTTTTTGGTTGCAGCCATCATTGTTGTTTGGCGGGTCCGGGCTGGGGATTCGAACCCGCCACCTTAGGTGTATGTGGCTGGCGCCTTAGCCGGTTGAGCTATAGGCGCTGAGCCAACATCCATTTTTTCTATGTATGTTTCAAACACTTTTAAGCTCTATAACATAAAAAATAAAATAGATTTACATAATTTTTCTCTAGGCTTTTTTATTTTAAAGATCTATATTTAAACTATTATACCGAAGGTTTTATAATGTTCACCAAGATAAGCCTATCTGATAAACTGCTTTTTAGACAGACATAAGGGCCAGGCATAGTGGTTCATGCCTGTACTCCCAGGAGGCTGAGGTGAGCAGATTGCTGGAGGTCAGGAGTTCAAGACCAGCCAAGCAAGAGCAAGATCATGTCCCTAAAAATAGAAAAGCTATCCTGGGCTCAGCATCCATAGCTCAGTGGTTAGGGCACCAGCCATATACATGGGGGTTGGTGGGACTGAACCCAGCCCAGGCCTGCTAACAACAATGACAACTACAATAACCACAAAAAAATAGCCCGGCTGAGACCAGAGAATCACTTAAGCCCAAAAGTTTAAGGTTGCTGTGAGCTGTGACACTATGGCATTCTACCAAGAGTGACATAGACTCTGTATCAAAAAAAAAAAGAAAAAGAGAGAAGCTACCCAGGCATTATGGTGGGTACCTGTAGTCCCAACTACTAGGGAGGCTGAACCCAAGAGTTTGAGGTTGCTGTGAGCTTTGACACCACAGCACTGTACTAAGGGTGATAAAGTGAGACTCTGTCTCAAAAAGAAAGAAAGAAAGAAAGAAAGAAAGAAAGAAAGAAAGAAAGAAAGAAAGAAAGAAAGAGAGAAAGAAAGAGACACAAAGGACCCAATAGGACTAGATTATTATTTTATGGCACTTTCAAGGCTTTAATCCAAACTAAAAACAAATATATTCATATTAAAATAGTAACAAATGGCAGGCACAGTGGCTCATGCCTGTAATGAGGCACTTTGGCAGGCTGAAGCCGAAGGATCACTTGAGGACAGGAGTTTAAGACCAGTCTGGGCAACACAGCAAGACCCTGTCTCTGTGAAAAATTATCCAGGCCTGGTGGTACACTCCTGTAGTACAAGCTACTCAGGAGGCTGAGGTAGGAGGATCATCTGAGCCCAGGAGTTTGAAACTACAGTGTGTCATGATCACACCACTGCACTCCAGCCTGGGTGACCAAGCGAGACCCTGTCTCTAAAAAATAAATGAATGAATGAATAAATAAATAAATAGTGATTAGTATCATTTATACTACATTGATGACATGGATGGGTCTACAGTTGTATTCCTCTTCATTTCTTTCATTCTGTTACAGATTATTATAATTTTAATGACTTAACATCTTAAGATCTTCTGAAAGGTTATTCTGTCTAGATTTATACAGCTTTAATGACATTTCCACCAAACCAAAAGTTATTATCTTTCACAGAATGTTTGTTATAATTGCTAAATATATTAGTAATTGAATTAAGGAAAACACTCTAACTTTCATCTGCTGGACTCTATTATTTATTACAAGTTCTCTGGAACTTCCTCAGTTTAGATTTAGACTGCAGAGGAATGGGAATTGGCAACTGTCCGGGGAGAGTGCTACTGACTGTAATATCAAGAATCACTACGGATGCCATATTTAAATTATGGGAACTCAGGTCTCCCATTGAGGTATAACAAGTCTACCTTTTTATTGATGTACTTTGGGAGTAGCCCTGAAGTTTCAAGATCATGCTTGTCTCCAGTTCTTTTGTCCACATAAATTGGTTTAGGCTTTTTAGCCACTCCCATGATGACATCAGCTGCGTTTGTGTTTATAAAATTTTTTCCACTCTGTATTCCCATGACTGGATGCTCACTTCTCAATGGGACAGCAGGCTTTCTGGGTGCATTCCGATCAAACTTCTTTTCTGTTAAACATAACATTTCCTTGTTAATATCAACCTATAAATATTGCTACTGATACTCTTTGTAATATCCAGGTACTTTACCACTAGTAATTGAAGTTTTATTAATAATATATTCAAATATTTAAGGTAAAAAGTTTATATTATTGCCAATCTCAAGTTGTCCACATTAAATATGTACAGCTTTTTACAAACCCATCATACTTCAATAAAATGGTTTAAAAAAAATTCAGTAGTCAAAATGAAAAAAATTAAAGGCAACATAAGCAATGGATAGGTTGAAAAACAGTATCAAAATCTAAGGCAGAAGAATAAGCACCCCAAGTTATATGGTAACTAATTAATGCATTTTTACTGGCTATTGTGAAAATATATTTAATATAAATGTATTAACTAATCTTTAATCTCATAAAGATTTTAACACAAATGTTCAGCTATCCCATTTATAGTAGGTTTAAATGAAAAACATTGAAACTCTTTTCTCAGTATTACCAATATTTGCTTCTCCAGAGGAAAATTATTATAAAATCACCAAGTAAATAAATCAAACTCTATGTGCTGATAGTCCAAGAAGCTGTGGATTTTTTCACTAAAGCTATTATTATAATACAGTATAAAAATCACATCATGGCTGTGTACCCAACATGCAACTTAACAAATGAAACATTACCCATACAGCTGAAATTTATTATGCACTCTTCCCTGATTGCATCCTAAAGTAACTACTATCCAAAATTTATCTCCTTTGTTTTTCTATACCATACCCTCTTCATTAATAGACGAAATTAGCCATCTTTATATAGCTTGTTCAGTTTGACCATTCCAACCAATCTATCTTGATATAGCCACATCAAAATGGCTTGCCAAGGCTCGGCGCCTGTGGCTCAAGTGGCTAGGGCGCCAGCCACATACATCTAAGGTGGCAGGTTTGAATCCAGCCCGGGCCCGCCAAACAACAAAGATGGCTGCAACCAAAAAATAGCCGGGCATTGTGGCAGGCGCCTGTGGTCCCAGCTACTTGGGAGGCAGAGGCAAGAGACTCGCTTGAGCCCAGGAGTTGGAGGTTGCTGTGAGCTTTGATGCCACAGCACTCTACCCAGGGGGACAGTTTGAGGCTCTGTCTCAAAAAAAAAAAAAAAAAAATGGCTTGCCAAAATGCTACAAAGTAAAACATAATGTAATTTATTTATTTATTTATTTTAGAGGCAGAGCCTTACTTTGTCACCCTTGGTAGAGTGCCATGGCATCATAGCTCAGAGCAACCTCCAGCTCTTGGGTTTAGGTGATTCTCTTGCCTCAGCCTTCCAAGTAGGTGGGACTATAGGTGCCCCTCACAATGCCCAGCTATTTTTTTGTTGCAATTTGGCCGAGGCTGGGTTTGAACCTGCCACCCTTGGTATATGGGGCCGGCGCCCTACTCACCGAGCCACAGGCACCGCCCCTAATGTAATTTATTTTCAAGAACCAAAAACAACATCTTTTATTTTTTCTTTTCTTTTCTTTTTTTTTTTTTTGAGACAGAGTTTCAAGCTGTCAACCTGGGTAGAGTGCTGTGATGTCACAGCTCACAGCAACCTCCAACTCTTGGGCTTAAGCCAGTGGTTCTCAACCTTCCTAATGCTGCAATGTATTTTCATTGTTACACAGGGTCGCAACCCACAGGTTGATAACCGCTGGTTTAAGGGATTCTCTTGCCTCAGCCTCCCAAGTAGCTGGGACTACAGGCGCCCCCCACAACACCCAGCTATTTTTTAGCAACAACTATCCTGACAGGGCCTCATGCCAATCTCTTTTTACACGTTTATGTAACTGTTTTTTTGAGACAAGTTCTCACTGCAGTGGCATCATCATATCTCACTGCAAACTCAAATTCCTGGGCTCAAATGATCTTCTTGCCTCAGCCTCCTGAGTACAGGTGTGCACCACCACACTTGGCTAATTTTGTGTGTGTGTGTGTGTGGAGATGGGTGTCTCACTATTGCCCAGGCTGGTCTCAAACTCCTGGCCTCAAGTGATCCTACCACCTTGGCCTCCCAAAGTGCTAGGATTACAGGCGTGAGCCACCAGGTTGGGTCCATCTGACATTTTTAATATTAAAAATTAAGAGTGATAAAACCTACTGAGTGGTAGAACCTTTTCCTTTGAATGTTTCTTTAAGAAATCCTTTGGAGAAGGTACTTCAACTTTTGCTGGTCCCATAGTTTTCATTGCAGATTTAACTTTTTGCAGGTCATCTTTTACAGCTGTCCTAAAAATTGATATGTACCTAGAATTAAATTTAGAAAGTTGTAGTGTTTATATTTCTAGTAAAAAAAAATTAAAGTTTAAAAATAGGCATAAAATTATTTAAGTCTATAATATGAATCGGGAAAACAATAGCCATAATACATAATTATCTAAGCTTTGCCCATCAGGCTTCTGCAAGCTAGATAAAGTTCTGCCCTAGGAAACAGGTGCCAGGGTAAAGGTGTTCACAGTATTTCCTTATCATCCTTTGGACATCTGCAGCCTCAGTAGTGGTAACAGCTTTCTCAGTCCTGATGGTAGTAATGCATGTTTTGTCTCTCTGTGCTGATAAGTCTGGCTAGGGGATTATTAATTTTATTAGTCTCCTCAAAGAATCAAAATTTTATTGATTTTCTCTAATGTTCACATGCATTTGACTTTAAAATTTTATACTTTTTAAATGTGTTTAAAGCTATAAAATTCTAAGCAGCACTTCTGCTGCATTCCACAATTTTTTTTTTTTGTTTAAGAAAGAGCCTCACTTTGTCACCCTTGGTAGAGTGCTGTGGCATCACAGCTAACGGTAACCTCAAACTCTTGGACTCAAGCAATTCTCTTGCCTCATTCTCCCAAGTCGCTGGGACTACAGCAACCCACCACAACACCCGGCTATTTTTAGAGACGGGGTCTTGCTCTTGCTCAGGCTGGTCTTGAACTTGTAAGCTTAAGCATTCCACCTGCTTCAGCCTCCCAGAGTGCTAGGATTACAGGTGTGAGCCACTGTACCCGGCCACTTTGTGTGATTTTAATCCTTTCCAGTTTTCTGACACTTGTTTTATGGCACAAAGCTTGGTCTATCTTGATAAATATTCTATAGACACTAGAAAAGAAAGCATATTCTGCTGTGGCTGGCTAGCATATTTTACAAATGACAATTAGATAAAACTGGTTGATAGTGTTTTCAAATGTACCATGTCCTTACTGACTTTGCCTACTTATTCTATTAATTATTTAAAGAAAGGTGCTAAAATCTCCAACTGTCTACGTGGACTTGGCTATTTCTTCTTTTAATTCAAATAGCTTTGGCTTTAATATGTTCTAAAGCTCTGTTAGTAGGTACATGTTTAGCATGTAGGGTTGTTATTTCTTCTTGAAAAACTGACTATTTTATCATAAAAACACTCTTTGTCTGTTTTACATTGCCCTCTAAAATCTATTCTGTCTGATATTATAGCTACTCCCAGCAATCCTTTGATTTGTAATAATATATATTTTTCCATTCTTGGACTTTTTACTTATCTCTATTATTTATTTATTATTTATTCTTTTATTTTTTTTTTGGAGACAGGATCTGACCTGTCTCTTAGACTAGAGTGTAGTGGTATTATCATAGCTCATGACAACCTCAGACTCCTGGACTCAAGGCTTCCTCTTAACTCAGCCTCCTGAGTAGCTGGGACTCAGGCAAACTCTACCATGTCCAGCTAATCTTTCTGTTTTGTAGAGAAGGGGTCTTGTTCTGGGCTCAGGCTGGTCTCAAACTCCTGGCGTCAAGCCATCCTCTTCCCTTAGCCTCACAAAGTGCTAGAATTATAGGTGTGAGCTACCATGCCTGGCCTACATGTTTATTTTTGAAGAGGGTTTCTTTTAGACAGCATAGAAATTTTATCCAACCAACATTCACTTTTATTTGGTATCATCATTTACATTTAATGTGACTTAAAAAGTATCTGTGTTGGCTTGGCACCTGCAGCTCAGCAGCTAGGGCGCCAGCCACACAAGACCCTGGCCTACTTAACAACGGTAACAACTACAACAACAAAAAAGCTGGTATTATTGTGGCAGGCACCTGTAGTCCCAGCTACTTGGGAGGCTGAGGCAAGAGAATCGCTTAAGCCCAAGAGTTTGAGATTGCTGTGAGCTGTGACGCCATGGCACTCTACCAAAGGCAACATAGTGAGACTCAGTCTCAAAAAAAAAAATCTGTTTTTCTATTTTCCATCTTGATGTTTTCTACAAATCCCATCGCTCATTCCGTCCTTTTTTATCTTATTTTTTTTTTTTGCTTGGTTTGGTTTTGTGAAAACCCTAGCTTTACAGTATATTTGTTTAACTTATTACAGCCTACCTGTCAAGTAATATCATACCAGTTTGAAAACAGTATGTGAACTTACAAAAGAATACTAGCATCCATCCCGTTTTTTCCTACTGTGGTAATGTACTTTACTTCTTTTTCTGGTATAAAACCCCTAATTCCTTGATTCTTTACCAAATAAAAGTAAATGCTGGTTGGATAAAATTTCTGTTGTCTGTAAGGAACCCTCTTCAAAAATAAACATGGGCACGCGGCCCACACCTGTAATCCCAGCACTGGATGAAGTTTACATTGTTGGTTGCTGAATTTTCTCTTCTTTCTTTCTCTCTCTCTCTATTGCTGTTATTTTTTTAGCTTTTTTCTTTAGCTACATTCTGGGATGCAGGATGCAGTTACAATAGTTGGAAACAGTTTGATCATTTTAAGCCTTGCTTTTAAGTTTTAAAGTCCAAAAGAACTTTTAATCTAGTTCTGATTTGGCCCTCCTGAGGCAATATACTTCTGAGTGCACTATTTAACGCTCTGTGTATCAGGGGTTATCTTTCCTCTGACTGATGAGAACATAAAATTTGCCTGAACTACTGATTTCCATTGGTTATTTCTCTGGCCTTGGCAGTTCATTGCACACATGCTATCAACCAAGCACAGGAGGTAAATCTTCCTGCAGACTTCCACAGTCTTTCTATGGAGATCTCTCCTCTCTGAAACACTGTGCTGTGAAGTCTAGGTGTTTTTGCCTTCCTAAACTCTGAATTCTGTCTCCTTTACTCAGGGAAGCTCCTGAGGCTTTGTTTAAACTTCCTTTCCTGGACTTTGGTCTGGAATGTCTTCAGGGAGTATGTTGGGGGAATTGTAGGACTTAAAGCTTCATTCCTCTTCTCTTAGAAAGGACTGCTCTGTGTTACCCATTGTCTTGTCTAAAATTGTCTCATTATTCTGGGGGAGTTCTAGTTGTTTAAGATGAAAGGGTAAATCCCATCTTTGGTTGAAATAAGACACTCAGCTTTTTAAAAAAATAACATAATAATTTGTATTCTGTTCTTCCTTATGTGGATACATTTGGGGAAACATTAAATTATTTTTAGATTTTAAGAGCCTTTCTTCAATCTTGAACTCAAGGGCTTGGGATCAGTTACGGTACAAACTGAATGAGAACAGAAGTTGGGGTTGGCATATATGGTCTCATGATTAAGAAAATAATCAAAATTGCACCGCCCTACAATTTGATTTTGAAAACTTAATATAGTGTTGGGTCTTCCACATTAGTATATGCAAAGCTTACCTTTTCTGTTACATAGCTGCATTTTATTCCATTTTTTGAATGATGTAGTTTTATTATAAAGATCTAAAGGTTACTTTATTACATAACTGCCTCTATTTTCTATTTATTGATAGAAATGGGGTAAAGATAAATTATTCTCAAACTAAAATGTGGATACTGTGCACTTGAAATACAACTATTGCCACATGCTGAAATCGTAATGTTTTAGGTATAAGTTTAAATAAAATCTATCGAGAAAGTTAATTTTCCTATTTTTTCTCACTTTTTAAAAGTCTTTTTTTTTTTTTTTTTTTTTTTTT